ATTACATTGTACATCATCCAGAGGCCCTTTCTGAGGGAGAGTCAATATTATAAAATAGGGCATAGAGCACAAACTTGCTTTCACAAACTTCACAAGTTAAAATTTTACAGCCTTTTCTTTTGTATAGCTCTATGCCAGTGTTTCTCAACCTCAATAACTGTAAGATGTGTGGCCTTCAACTCCCAGAATTCTCTTCTATGCTGAGGAATTCTGGGAGTTGAAGTCCACATATTTTAAAAGTTGTTAAGATTGAGGAACACTGGCTTAAAGCTGCAGTACATGAAAGAAAAAGCAGTAAAATAAGACACACAGTACATAATATTTTAGGCATAGATAATTAAGCAAAGTAAGAAACAAAGCAGCCATTACATATTTAACTAAGACATATTTAACTAAGAGGGAAAATGAAATACTTATCTTGAACAAAAGAGATCCGAACTTCAAATTTCTACTACAGGGAGTCCTCAATTTACAACAGCTTGGTTACTGACTCTTCGAAGTTACAACAGCACTAAAAAAAAGTGATTTATGACCATTTTTTAGATGTATAACTGTTGCAGCAACCCCCATGGTCATATGATCAAAATTCAGATGCTTGCAACTGAATCTTATTTATGACGGTTGCAGTGTCCTGTGATCACCTTTTGTGACCTTTTGAGAAGCAAACTCAATAGGGAGGCCATTCACTTAACACAGTGTTACTAACTTAACAACTGCAGTGAGTCACTTAACAATTGTGGCAAGAAAGGTCGTAAAATGGGGCAAAATTCACTTAACAATTGTCTTGCTTAGTAAGAGAAATCTTGGGCTCAATTGTGGTTGTAAGTCGAGGACTAATTGTATTTGGTCTGGAAAGAATTTGAGAATCCCAGTTCAGCTAGTTTTCCTTACTTTGTTATTCCTCCCAACCTCATGAAATCTTGGAAAGAAATTATGTCCAAGTAGTCGTCTTTAGTGGCCACAATTGGGACTGGCAACTTGGTTGTTGAACGAAGTGCTCACTAAGTGAAGTTGTGACTATGTTTACTTCAGCTTTCTTTTTTTATTTTATAAAATTTTATTGATTATTTTTTAACAGAATTCAATAGTAATCATTCAACAAAACGTGTTGTCTGAGTATCTTGTTCACTAATACAAATTAAATTCCTAGTCCCTAAATCTTTTCTCTAACCATTGATAAAATAAGTCCGAAGTTTGAAAATATTCTGTTTCTTCTTTTTCTTTCTACTTTAAAATAAGTCTGTCCATTTCTGCACAGTGTAGTATTTTTTTTAATTATTTCTTCTTCTGGTGGCGTTTCTTCATTCTTCAGTATTGTGCAAATATAACTCTTGCTGCTGTTATCACATGTAAAATCAAATATGTACTTTGCTTATCAGGTTTTTTTGGCATTATACCTAATAAAAAAAAATCAGGTTTATAGTCATGTGTTTCTCTAACATTTTTTCTAACCAAGTGTGAATTTTTGCCAATATCTCCTTGCTTTAACACATGTCCACCACATATGATAATAAGTACCTGGTTTATGCTTACATTTCCAACATTTCTCTGACATATTTTTAAACATTTTTGCTAATCTTGTTGGTGGCAAGTGCCAACTATAAAACATTTTGTATAGGTTTTCTTTATAGGAGGCTGACATTGTCAATTTATAGTTTCTTTCCCACAAACTTTGCCACTTCTCTAAGTCTATTTTATATCCAAAATTCTTTGCCCATACTATCATTGTTTCTTTTACCTGTTCATCTTCCATTTTCAGATTTAATAAGAAATTGTACATTTTTTAAATTAACTTTCATCAGAAGTTAGTAATGTCTGGTCAAACATAATCTGCTCTTTGTAAAATCCATCTTTTGCATTTGTAAATGTGACCACCATGTTAAATCGATGCCCTGATTTTCCATCTCTTGTCTAGATTTTAAGTTCTCTTCAGAATTCAGCTTTCTTTTGCTTTACAGAATGGTTAAGGCATGTATGTGAGGTGTGGGTGCAAAGTTATTTTTCCATCACCATCATAATTGTCAATATTTGCAAAATGAGGCAGTCGCTAAACATGGACTATGTGTAAATCTTATCAGCAAGATTAGAGGCAGATATCAAGTTTACCATATAGATTTAGGACTTTATAGACTTACAGGGTCAAGATGAACTTGGCACATTAGCAATGGAAGACCCTAAACCAATAAAAGTTTGAATAGAAAAAAAAAGCAATGGAAGACCCCAAAGGTCAGCTAGGAGCAGCAAGGCCTGCCAGGCACCGAGTGGTTGTGACTTTGTGTTGTAGGAGCTGGCCGGAGTATGGGGCTTGAGGCAGCACTCAGTCGTGGTGGGTCTGAAGTAGAAGCCCCTGGTTGGTGGTGGCTGGATGAGCCTGAAGACCCTAGGCTTCCATTTCAACCCACCACCACCTAGGAGTGCCATTGTGCAGGGCAGACAAAAGGGCAGAGATGGGGAGAGGTGGGTGGTATTGAAGCACCTCTGCAGTTATAAATGTAGCAGACTGTTAAGCACCCTAATTTTAATCATATGACTGCCGGGGCACTGCAGCAGCCATAACTTTGGGGACTGTACCATTTGTTCAGCACCTCTACAACTTCAAATGTTTGCTGAATGAATCGTCATAAATGGAGGACTATTTGTATTTACTCTGTATAGTCTCAAAGTGTAATTTGTAATTCTGTTTGTGAGTTGGCTTTTAAAAATATACATTTTTATTTTCAAGTTTCTGTTTTCAAGTTCGGTGCTTTCATAACCTGGGCATAAATCAGACTTAAAAGTAGCTGAACCTGTGGGATTTTTGATGCTGAATTAAATGAGATTCCTAGATAAATTCAGGCAGGATTCCTGTCTTTGGTTACAATCTGTTTCTCAGTCTTTCATTTCAGGTCCTACCGATTATGCTGGCAAAGCAGGGTCCTATTCAGATGGAAGCATGAAAGGACCTCTTTTTCCAAAAAGACCACATATATTCATCATTGGTGATCAGGCTTGTTTAAAATTCAAGGGCTTACCCTGTGCCCCACTTATACGGCCAATTACTGAGAGCTACTGCTCCACCACCCAAGAACCCTGTAAGGTAGACCAGGCTAAGAAAGAGCGACCTGTTCAAAGGTTTTACAAGATCCACATTAAAAGATGCAATTTAATAATAATAATAATAATAATAATAATAATAATAATAATAATAATAATAATAATAATAATAATAATAATAAAGTTGGAAGGGACCTTGGAGGTCATCTAGTCCAACCCCCTGCTCAGGCAGGAAACCCTATACCATTTCGGACAAATGGCTGTCCAGTTTCTTCTTAAAAACTTCCAGTGTTGGAGCATTCACCGCTTCTGGAGGCAGGTTGTTCCACTGGTTAACTGTTCTAACTGTCAGGAAGTTTCTCCTTAGTTCTAGGTTGCTTCTCTCTTTGGTTAGTTTCCCTCCGTTGCTCCTTGTCCTGCCTTCAGGCGCTTTGGAGAATAGCTTGACTCCCTCTTCTTTGTGGCAGCCCCTGAGATATTGGAAGACTGCTATCATGTCCCCACTCGTCCTTCTCTTCGTTAAACTAGACATACCCAATTCCAGCAACCGTTCCTTATATGTTTTAGCCTCCAGTCCCCCAATCATCTTTGTTGATTTAGCCGTAGAGAGAAAGAAAGTGCTTTTTCTTTAAAACTGCCATTAGCCTGTTTTTGACTTTGTACAATTTTATTCTGTTTTAGACTTGCACGGGTTTTTGGCTTCCAAATGTTAGCAAATTAAACCTGAACTTTGCAGGAAGACGTTCGGGGACTCCCCCAAAATCTTTAGCCTCCACGATTCTCCCATTGATTTTCAGACAAACTCTATAATGAATGCTAAACGCGGATGCTCTTTGCAAAATAAAATGCGACGAGTCATCGCGAAGCTAGCCAGAACGATGCTTCAGCCTTCAAGAGAGATGAAGTTAAATCGAGATTTTTAGGGTCTTTTTTTTTTTTAATGAATCAAAGGAACTCTTTTATGGGAACTTACAATCAAGTTACACGTGAATGCATCCTTTTAAGAGCCAAGAAGCTCAATTGTGCTTTTGAATTTCTTACCACATTTACACAATCAATCAATAAATAAATAAACCAGCGCATTTTAAAAGTATTCAAATCCATCGTGGTAACGGTCTCCATTTCTTTGCAAGTAGATTTTGCAAAAAGTTGCTCTGGTTGGACCGTTTATAAACAAAACTCCCTGTTCGCGAGTCCTCCCTTGACAGCAGGGGTCCTCAACCTTGGCGACTATAAGACTTGTGGACTTCAACTCCCAGAATTCCTCAGCCGAGGAATTCTGGGAGTTGAAGTCCACAAGTCTTAAAGTCGCCAAGGTTGAGGACCCCTGCTTTACAGTATACGATTACGTTGCAAATAGAACCGGATTTGCTTGACTGCGCATGCGTCATCTAGGCCTTTTTTTCCCCTTCCCTCCCCTCCTTTCCCCTTTCTCTCCCCCTCCCGGCCAGGCTGAGGCAGGGGGGCGTGGCCTCCTTCGCCTTCTCGCGCGAGCTGCCGCCGAGACCGTGGTAGGAAAGGCGGGGCCAAGGGGAACGCTCGGCGAGCGGTGGGCGGGGCGAGTGGAGCGTTGTGTATATCGCTCGAATGTCTCAGCGTTCCAAAAGGCCCGGTCCGGCAGCACGTGGGGGGAAAATTGAGCAGCCCGCGGCGGGTGGCCGGGCTGGGCACGGAGGTAGCGCACGGGGGCTTGGCACCAGCATCGGGGGTGGGACAGCGAGGAGAGGCGGCCGCACCAGCTGGAGAGCCGGCTCCACCGGACGCATCGTGAGTAGCGGATTTGACTGGAGGCTTAAGGTGCCAGTCCTCATGCGCCAAGTTTGCGAGGGAGGGGCTTTCCGGAGAGTAAACCGGCGTGGGCAGCGGAGGTGAGGGTGACAATGGTTGCTGGCGCTTCCGGTGGATCGTATAAACCCCCGTCTGTTGTTCCCAAAGGGGGAATCTCTCTTCCCTCCCGCGCATATGTTTGCTAACTTCTCCGCTAGCCCACCTCCCCGAAGCCATACTTGGCTAGCGTTCCGATGATTGCTCTGCGGTACACTAATTGGCAGGTAAGAACGCGGCTCTCCCGTGTCCGATGACCGGCCCCCTCTCCCCTCCGGCTTGCATCTGACCTCCCTGGCTTGGGTCCGACTTTAAAGCGGCTGTCTCCCACCCGGAGCCCTAACGGGAGGGTTCTCCAATGGGCTCCCCCAGCAGCGACGGGGCTGCTGGACCCTTTCAGGGTACGACTTAAGGCTCCGGAGGGGCTCGGGGTAGCGGCGGTTCCGTCCTTCCCTTTCACACCCCCCCCCCGCGCAACTCTGTCATTTACCCGTCCTTCATTCCTCTGCTTTCCACGCGCCTTGTGCTTGCACTTTTATGGCGTTTTCGACGCGTCTGCCTGCGAACGTGTTTCTTCCTGGCACTTTCTCCGGCGGGTGATACCTGCCCCCCCTTTTTTTTTTTTGCAGAGCCGGCCTATTTGGTGCTCTGCATTTGCACCCCAAGTGGGGTGCTGGGTGCTGTACAACTTTAAAGATTCTCCCTAGACAGCTGCCCCTTTTCTAGCTCTTTGCCCGTGGGGAGAATTGGAGGCTGTTAAGGCCTACCTAGAACTCTGGAAGAGACGCAAACCAAAAGCTGAATCTGTCAAGGCTGTTAAGGAGTGGTGGCTTGTGAACGGAGGTCGAGGTTTGTTTGAAATGTCCTGCTTTTCTAGGACGTTTGAAAAACACCTTCAAACGCGCGGGGGACAGCCGCTATTTCCTTGCTTAAAATTCAGATTTAGGACTGTAGTCCTTCTCACCAGGCCATCTTCCAGATGTGTTAAGGCTACAACAACCTGGGTTGCAAATTCAGAGAGTTGTAACAAATCTGGTGCGGGGCGGCTGTGGCATATTCTAGAGGCTTCAGAACATGTGTTATCAATCAAGGAAAGAGTATAATTTGCTGTTCAGCTTGTATTTAAAAGGCTCCCCCCCCTTTCTTGGTTCTTCCATGTAAGGCATACTGTAAACTTAATATTGGCTTATCCTGCAGGGTAGTTGTGTGTGGGAGAGAGAAAGGCCAAGGTAGTGCAGAATTGCGGAGTTGTCAAGGACTGCACAGAAACTGATCTACAGGGGGATTCAACCTGATGTGGGATAAATAGTACACGCCTGAGAAATGAGAGTTGGAAAACGATCTGGATGTAAAGTGTCTCCACTTGGGAAGAAAGGCACGTGGGCATGGCTGTGTTTTGAAGCGGGTCTAGTGCAAGAGTTCATGAGAGGTGTGCTAATTTCTCTGGAGTAAAAGCCACTCCCTGGTTTGTTCTTTCAATGTATCAGGTATGGGCTAGAATTGCATTTGAAAAGTACCCAGATGCTTGCAAGCTGCTTATTCATGTCTGAAATGTATAATTTGGGGGAGCGTATGCTTGGATTGATGTCCCTGCAAACCCCCCCCCCTCCCTGAGGTTCTTTTTCAACTAATGTTGCCAGCTCCCAACTGCAGTTAAATTGCCTTTTGCCCCCCATCTTAAAGCCACAGGCCGCCTCTGCAGCGAGAAAGCTAAAACTTCCTTGCAACAAGGTCACACACCACCTTGTCGGTTTCTCTTTCAAGAGGATCTGGTGCCTGGCCTTCGGCGGCTAGAAAGAGGCGGATCCTGGGTCCTCCAGCGAGGCCTAGTTTGCTCTTGCTCCCGAAACGTGCGAGTAAGGACTCCGAGGTGGGTAGAGGTCACCCTCCTCCACGCCTGCTGGGTGCTCTTTTGCTAGAGGAAGCCTGGGATTGAAAAAGGAGAGCCCATCCGTCCGTTTTGCCATGTGCCGGCTTCATCTTGCAAGGGCACAGCGGTGAAGTGAAGGCATGGGGGGTGGGGGGGGGAGAGGAAAGCCCCGGTTTGGTTTGGCTGAGCAAGTTCTGCTGCTTTGGTAACCTCCCTCCCTGGTTCCCCCCCCTCTCCTTTAAATGAACTCTTAGTGAAGAACAGTTGCATTTGGTGGATTTGATTAAGCCAAGTCTTAACCCATGTGCCAGCTCTCTCGAGTGTGCAAAAAGAGCAATGTTCCTTTAAGACACTTCTGACAACGTTTGAAGGACTGTGCTAAGTAATAATGCTTTGGTATGCCTCCCCAGACCTCCAGGTGTGTTCAGTGTGCACATTTTAATCACCTCCTAGTAGGCACAGCTCAATGGTGATTACTTGTTTTCCCAGGCCTTATGGAGAATAATGCCATCAGAGAAGGAAATTCTGGGTGTTGATTCGCCTGCCAAGTTTATATATTCTGCTAATCCAGGTTTTGTGGAGGCATCTGCCGTGTTTCCTGCATTACGTTAGGTGTCAAATCACAGTGGCTAGGTTCATATCATGTATTAAACCAAAATAGACCACATTGTGTTTTAGTAGTATGTGTGAACCAAGCTTCTGTGCTAAACTTAGCATGTATGCTTAACAATGCAACATGTTTATTTTTTCATCTATTATGTCCATAGTATACGCTTCACATCAACCCTGTTGAGTTGACTTGATTGAAAAAGATAGTTACTGGCCCAAAGGAATCTGTATTTCAGAATTCAGTTGGCCAGGGTCAACTCCACGCTGTAACCACTAGACATATTCTAGACATCCGAGAGACAGACTGTCTGAAAGACAATTGCTCTTACACAGTGAATATTCAAAGTTTTTCTGCTCTCTAATTCTCCATCTATCCGCACACATTTAATGTAACTGATTGCTATTCCCATTTTACAGATTGTGGGAGAAGAATTCAGGTCAGCCCATATAAAGTTAGTAGGCAAACTTTGATTGTTACAACAGAATACTATATTTGACTTATTATCATTTTATGCTATAATTTTTTCCATTTTACAGACTGAGGACAAAATTATTAAATTTTACAGACTGAGGATGCATTTAAGACAGATAACCAGGAAGGACACAGTTGTTTCAGGATTTGGATAGTTGTTTCTCAAATGCATTTTAGCTATTGGTTTCTAAAAGCACAGTATTGTTTAAAGTGCTCCAGGATTTTCAAAGCAATAGGTCCGTGATGGCGAACCTTTTAGAGACCGAGTGCCTAAAACCCAAAACCCACTTATGCATCGTCAGGGGTAAGGTGGGTGTGGCCCATTGGGTGGGCGTGGCTGCGGTGGTAATGGCAGACTGGGTGGGACTAAAAAGTTCAATCAATCAATTCCAACTTTGCAAGATCTTTTTTTTCCCCACAAGAAGTTGAAATTGACTCATTGATTGAACCTTTTTTTTTTTTTTGCACATTGCAGCGGAGGCCTAAAGCGAAAAGGTTTTATAAAACCCAGCTGAAGGCCTAGGGCTGGGGCGACAGCGCGCGTGCCCACAGAGAGGGCTCTGAGTGCCACCTCTGGCACCCGTGCCATAGGTTCGCCACCACTGCAATAGGTTGTGTTGTATAGATTTTTGAAGCTTTCTTCCTTCAAGCTGGGTCAAAACATTATGTCACTGTCCCGTTGTAGCTTCACAAATATTCTGTAGAAATATCAGGCTTAATTGTTAGACCCAAAGTGACTTATTTAGCCAGTTAAGGATTTGAACATGGGTCTCCAATCTGAGTTATTAATTAATCCACTACACTCCAAATTTGGCAACTTTTAAAACTTGTGGACTTCAACTCCCAGAATCCCTCAGTCACAAGTCTTAAACTTGCCAAGTTTGGAAATCCTTGCACTACAACAGGCATGTCAAACTCGCGACGTCATGTGACGTCGTGCGACATATCGCGACTTTTCCCCCTTTGCCAGCAATGAGGTGGGCGTGGCTTCGGTGTGACGCATCCGGCCCGTGGGCTGGCAGTTTGACATGCCTGCACTACAACGTTTCAGTGTCCATTCTCAGGAAAAAAAAGTTTTGAATTTTTTAATGTAGATTTTATTTGTGTTGTGGGTTTAACCTTTGATGCAGGTGTATTAGACGATTAAATATATTTGGGAATAATTTTGGTTAGAAGTGGTTGCAAATCTGTGTCTCACATCGTGACTATTGTTGTTTATGTATTACATTTATCTCTTGCCTTACGTTTGGGAGCAAAAGGCAGCAAAACTATTTCCCGAACTGGACAGAAACATTTTCGTGGGTTTTAATCTTCATTCTCGCTCTGGTGTAAGGATTGTTCAGCTTTCTGTGATGTCAGAGCAGCTGACCAATCAGAATTAGACACACTGTAATGCTGAAGCTTTTTTCTGGGTTGAGCTTGGTCTTGGGATAGGGCCGTCAGATAGTGGTTGGGGAGAAAAACCACATTTCCCTATAGTTTTGCATTATAAGACCTTGGTGCTCTTTGAGCTTGGTTGTTTTCTTGCAGACATTTCATTACCCAACTAGGTAACATCATCAGTGTTAGAAGGAAATGGGGTTTGCTCCCTGTTTACATACAAATGGCTTGCCCTGTCAGTGTTGGTACGTGTTGTTTTCTTTTTTATAATCCCTTGATAAGTCTGTTATGTATTATTTAATTGTTTGTCTGAGTGGGTAGTTCTTTGTTTAGGGTATTGGGTATTTTGTAAATAGGTCTGCCAGTGGGATCAAGAAGCTGGCAGAGACACCCAAGTATGGACTGCTCTAACACATTCACATGACTAATTTGCAAGTTATCTTTCTGAGATAGGGAGAAAGTGACTTTGATTCACCTTGGACAAGGGGGTGTGTTTTGTTGAATGCAAAGATCTGTGGAAAGTCGTGGCCAATGAACCACATGACTTCCCCTTGGTCCAGACTGCAGCCTTGGCTCCCTTCTGCAAAAATGGACTTCCAGTAGCCAAGATAACCATCTGCTACACCAAACAGTTCTTTTTCCCCTGGAGCAGAGGCTATCAGTAAATAAAAATTACCAGAGTGCTTTAGAGGAGAGCGAGCAGGCCTCTCTCCTCTCTGCAGCCAAGATGGGTGGAAAGTTTATTTTGTAAAACATGATTCAGTACACCTGGGTTCTTGGCTGACTCTTGCCCTCATTTGTAATCTCGAGGCTGGATCAAGTTATGTCCTAGTGTGCCAACATGCTGGATTCTGGGACTTGTAGAAAGGAGGTGAATTTCCTGACCTGGCCTCCTA